TATGCCATAGGGTGCATAGCAAACCTACATTTGCCCAACGCCAACAGCTGTCATTGGTCAGCTGTGCCCCCAAAAGTGCACCACGAAGAAGATCCCTTAGTGGCGGCGGTTCCCTTGCCAACACCCTATTATTGCCCTTCGGCCTTTCCGGTGCCCACACCCTGGCGCTGAGGCTGCTGAACGATGCGCTCACAAACACCAAGCCGAGCGCCAAACAATCTATTGAGACACACGGTCGACAGGCAGATCTAAGAGCAGCGGGTATAACACTTCCACAAGCAGCCCCGCACCTTCCTCCGCAAGGACCAAGGTCCTCGACGCGGTAGAGCCACAGCAGGAACGAACCAGGAGAGCGACCAATGTCTAACGCCGCAGCCGGAAACAACAAAATTGAGGCGTTGGGTGTTTTCCCTTCTCACCGGTAGATCGATGACAATACTGCAACAAAGCGGGGCAAATACTGGGGCGACCCAGTCCCAACTTTCAGCCAAGCGGCCCACTCATTGGACCCCAACACGCTACCCTTTTGCGTGTTGATTTCATGTGGATGATTTCAGCGAGGCGTTTGATGTCCGGCGGATCGCAAACCCGTGTTGGTGTGAAGCGCCGGGTGAGTAGATAGTAGAGAGGCAAAGAGCTCAACATGCATGTTGACGCCCGTGGCTTCTACAAGGCCAGCCAGGACAAGTTCATCAAGAAACGGTTCGTTCTCGTCTCGACCGTAAAAGTGGGCAAAGTGGCCCGGTATGCAGGACTTGGCTAGTGAAGAATTGCGCAGCCGATGGGCAACAACCATTCTTGACGGAGCTGTTCCATCAGGTGCCAGCCTTCAAAGGCGAGGTGCGTCTGGCATCTTTGAAGTGCAACGCAAAGCCGTTGTATGATGTTTTGACTGCAGAGAATCGGTGTAAGAGAATTTTCTGCCAAAGGTCATTCGATAGGTGCCAGCATACCTGCAACGCTCAGATTGTTCGAGGAAGATGGATGCGAATTTCGTTGCCGTTTTCGCAAGTCACTGCAAAAGCTTTGGGCACAGCTGGTGGATGATAAAGAACTCAGACCAATGCGAAAGATGCAGCCCTGCAAGATCCACCATGGTCATCCCCCGTTGCTGAATGGGCACATCATAGCAGCGCGAATCGTGATCAGACAAACAACAAAAACAAGCAGGCAAAGCAACACAATTTTCCGAGAACAAAAATGAGAGCCACAAGAACAAAGGAAGGGCGTGAAGAACAGCAAAGATGCCATGAAGGGCTACCAGAAGGGTGGCAATAAAATAGCAAGGTCAGTGACGTTGGTGCGGTATTGCGCGTTGGACTGCAATACCCTGCTGCTTTACTTGGCTGAAAAGAGCTCCGGTGTAGATCTTTGCAAGAAGATGACCTACCATGGGCCATGGGATTAACCAGGCCACATCCGAACACATAACGATTTGGAGCTGACATTTTGGTCAAGATGTGGAAGTCAAACTCTTTGTTGGTTCGCACGTACTTCATTTCCTGAACGACTTTAACACTTGATATGACATTTTGTTTGAGCCATGCAATGCGGAATGTGCAGGAACTGGTCTCCTTTCCAGACCTTGATACAGTAACACTGGCATAGTTTAGAGTGGGAGCGGTAGTTCAGTCAAGTAAGCGCCAGAGAGGCTCCCTTGAGGATTTTTCAACAATTTTGTTGCTTTCAGCTTAGTCAAACATGCCAGGAAGTGAAGGCTGAGGTCAAGGCCATGAGCGCAGGTCCATTTGTGCCGAACAGTTTTGAAACTGCGCTTTGAACCGATCTCATGCATTTGGCATGTTGCACTGTTGCACCTCATGCACACTAACCTGTCAAACTATGTGTTGAATTGTTCTGCGCACCTTGTAGTGACAGCAGGTGGCACGTCGCGAATCCAGGAGACCGTGACAGAAAAAGTTCCTGAGTTTGGCAAGGATGTGGAACAAACTCAGAAACAATTGAATTTTTACACTGAACAATCACTTGAGCACCGGGTCACCAGGACTTTTCATGGGCCGTGGGAGCAACGCCGTTGATTTTAGCAGTGCAGTCTGCAGGCTGGTCCCTTTTTGCATCGATCGGCAATTTCTTATGTCCACACATTTTTTTCACAGAGCTCTTCAGCCTGAGCCTGTGACGAGATCTTCATACTCTTGTATCTTCCGCTGTCTACACACGCTAATGTACCGCCTTAGTATACAACACAATGGCTTCGACCATTGGCTCTGTTTCCGCACTTTAAATCGGCGTTGTTTGTGGGTTTCTTGAAACCTTTCCTTTTGAGCGCAATGTGGTCCAAAAATGCTCATAGTCGTACGCACATCTGCGGCGTTTCTGCTGAGGCCGGGGAACTCTTGGAGCTGGTGACCAGGCCTTGCCGCATTTAGGAAATCAACAGACTCAATAGACGACGATATGTGTTAGAATTATAGATGCTGTTGGAAAGGTAGAGCTACATCCTGTAATCGCAGCATGGTATCAAACTTGCTTTTTCAAAGACCATTCGCTGGGAGCCGCTGGCTCGAGAATCGCCGTTTCGATGGTCTGTGAAGACGAATCATCGCATTGTTCCCTCAAAACATGCGGATGTATATATTTCAACCCTGAACACTTCGATTGCCAGATGTGTTAGAATGAGTGACGAGTGAACTTAAAGTACAGTTTGGGCGCCTTTCGAGTGATTTTCCAACTCCTTTTCTACTCCGCTTCTGTATTTCGACGGCTTGTATTTCTGCTGTCCGGAGCTCATTTGCTTTGGGCCTTTTGTGCCAAGTGCCAATTCATGGAAGCACAGTTTGGTAGAAGAACGCTGATAGAGCTCAGAGACTACACTTATACAACATGCGTATTTGTGAGTCCACGCTGTCACCTATGAACCAAGAATTACACCGCCGTAGACCCCAAACAGTGTTGTTTTTCAAACGGAACACTCTGCAACTAGAGTTTGCGACATCCAGAACTGGGAGACAAAGGAACGCAAGGAAGAGGTGGAAATAGCAGGAGAGCTGGGTATATACAGCAGTCTAGAGCTGGGAGACAAATGCAAAGGATTGCACACAGCAGTCAGATGGGAGACACATGTAAAATTAAGGATTGCAAGGCAGAGGCAGACACAACAGCCCAGAGCTGGCAGACAAGTGCAAAGGATTGCAAGCCAAAGGCGGACACAGCAGCCCAGAGCTGGGAGACACATGTAAAGGACATGCAGGCCTGAGATTAAAGGAATAGAAATGCTACATGGCCAGCGGACAGTGACAGACCTGCAAGAAATGAATAGAAGTGCCACATGGCCAGCGTAAAGGGTGGGAACACCAGCAGTGACAGACCTGGGAGACAAATGAATAGAAATGCTACATGGCCAGCGGAAAAGGGCGGACACCAGCAGTGACACAAAGGGCGGACACATCTTAAGAAACAATTGAGAACCCCTAACAGTAAACTGTTTGGGGAAAAAGTGATGGTGGAGGAGGAAGAAACCAACGGCCTGACAATAAGACCCTGAGCACCCTCACTGACTTGGGGCCTCCTGCTCTTGGCCCTTCCCTTGTGCCTCCAGAAACCTCATCATTTTAATGCATTAAGGTGAAGGTGATTTGGCCTACAAACGTAAGGAAAATCCACGGCGGCCGTGTCTGACTGGGCCCCTTCGGTTCACCCTTGATTTGTGGCTCGCCTATGTCCCCTTAATATATTTGTACAAGACAGAGACAGCCAATTTTATAAGCACCACTTATTTTATGTGTGTAGAAATTTCTTTATAAGATTGAAATAAGTGGTGATGGCCATTGAATTTTAATAAGATAGAAAAAACACACAACGCAGACGACTGCTTTTCCTCTTGTGGAATCAGAGTTGTCTCTGACCCGTGTTTGAGGCAATGTCGCTCTGTGATTTTTGGCAGCTCTTCACCTGCCAAGGGTGGGTGCCCAAATTAGGGGCCAGTGCACAAAGATGGAACTCAAAGTGCCAAGCATTTCTGAGGATTCTGGACCATGGCTCGGAGTTGCAAGTATGTGAGGCCCAATCTGGATGGCTTTGAGAAACAGTGGGAGTGCGTTGAAACACCAGAGATGCTCTTGCAAAACCTTTGCTGGGTTTCAGTTGATTTGCTGAGCAGCCCAAAAATCGACCGAGTGAATGGTTGACTCGACTGTATTAGGTGGGCATGCGAGATACAGAATTTGCAGGAGTCTCAGACTTCAATGGCAACTTACTTCGATGGCGGATGTGATGCAGCAGTAATGAGTCTTTTGTTATCCATCATTGTGTCAGATTCTCCAAGCATCTCTGGGTATGCTGTATACTGTATACAAAGGTCAGGCAACATGTTTGCTGGCCAAACTGAACATGACAGCAAAGGCACTCAAACGCTATATTGGTATGGCCATTTCAAATAACTGCCCAACACTAAGACTAAGACTATAATGACTTCTCTGGATAATGCGAACATGCAGCTTGTCCTGGAAACAGGTACTTTTCCGCACACGTCTACTCGCTGTTGTTCCACAAACTAGTTTTAGGGCCTTGCAAAGGGTTCTTCCAGAGGCTTCTCACATAGCAAATGTGCAAACTCACAGATCATTTTCAGTGTACAACTGTTTACACAGGAGTTCCTCCGTAAGTTCATCTCGCTTTCCACATTCGTCTCTAAAGAGCGGTCTTACGCCTGAGATGCTCGTTGCGCCAACCAAGAACAGGTTCAGGCTTTCTTATGACGTGCTTTGTGAGTCTTCCATAGACCGAAAGTGTGTGCAAACACAAACGGCTTTCTGCAGTGGGCTTTTGTAGACGTTTCGATCGTGCTGCAAGCTTAATCTCCCAACATCTGCAGCATGCTGAGGTTGTTCATCCAGCGAAAGAAGCTGCAAAAGACAACTTCTTGGGAGCAAAGGCATGGTTGGAAAATGGATGAATAATGGCATGGGAACTCCAAGTTTGAACACCGACCATACTGACGATGTCCATTTTTTGGGGACAACCCTGAGGCAATCCAGACTGTGTAAGCTAAGTGGACTGTGGTTCCTCCATCTTTGGTAGTGCAATTGCAGTGGAACTTCTGGATATGCTGAAGCGTTTCAATGCTCAAAATAGAATGCAGACTTCTGGCAAGGGCAACTTTCAAAGAAGGTAAACAGCCTGCCAGAAAACTTGGAATCCAATGCTCATAGATGACCTTTGAAACTCGTTTTCGACATGCCGTTCAGCTTGGGCTGGTGCTAGTGCCAACCAGCGTTTCTTCTGGATTTGTTCATTTGATGCCACAGCCGTGGCATTCTTTGCCTAGTTTGGATGCCGGCCTGGAGCGTGCAGCTCAGGCCGAATATGAGTTGGGTGTCCAGGCTTGGAACCTGAGACAAGCAGAGCAAGGATTGGAATTGTTTCTCCGGAGTGCCCAGAAAGGCTATGAAGTCGGAGAGTACTGCTTCCGCTACGGCATGTACCATGAATTTCCACCTTCAGATATGCAGCAAGCGTTTCGCTGGTACAAAAGAGGAGCGCGCATGAACCACAAAGGTTCAACGACAATGCTGGGCAAGCTCCATTTGGCAGCTGGTCAAAGGGACCAGGCTATGCATGTCTTGCAGCGTACAGCTGTGCCAAATCGAGCCTTCCGTACAGAAGGCCATGGCGGTCAAAGAGGTGATTCTTTAGCGCAATGGTTTTTAGGAGAATTGTTCTTGCAAAGCGCGAAGCTTCGAGATGCTGTGAAATGGTGGAAGCTGTCTGCGGAGAACGGAGATATTGATGCCATGATGCGCCTGTCACAAATCTTCAAGGATGGTGCAGTTGGAATTCCTCAGGAACCTATGTTGTCCCGCCATTGGCTGTTTGCGGCTGCTGCCCATGGGCACAAGGACGCACTTGATCATGTGAATTGGGCTGCAACGTTGCGCCCCCGTGCGGAGCAAAAGTGGATTGACTTGATGGAAGAATATGGCTGGATCTGAGGTTTTGCGGCGTCGCAAGCCTGACTCAACAAGTCAGTTGTTTCACAAGACAGGTGTCATTGAGGCAAAGAGGAAGCTGGGCAAGAGGAAGGGCAAAAGAGTCTAGGAAGGGCAAGAGGGGCCACGTTTTAACTTCGATCTAGGAAGCAAGGGTTCCTCAAGGAAGCTCCGCCGCCTGACCAACCCTAGCTTTCCTTGATATCCAGCTTTCCCTACCTCCTCTTAGGAACAAGGACGCTACTAGGGGCTCCTAGGAACAAGAAGCTACTAGTAACAAGTGCCACGCTAGTAGTAACAAGTGCCTTACTAGTAGTAACAAGAAGCTACTAGGAACAAGAAGCTACTAGGGTTGTTTTCTGCGTCACATGAATTCACCATTGGCGTGGCCACGGCGTGTCGCACAGGTGACGCCACAGAGGTCCAGGAGCACTGAAGAAGGTTCTGAAAGGTCGAGAATTGCAAGCGGGCCCCGTGCTTAGGTGTTAAGACGTGCATGTCACATGTTATAACGTATATAGTTATAGTTGTAGTATGTTATAGTTATAATTAGGCCGTCTCTTTTTACACAGGAGAGCTTCTTGGAAGCTTTGCTAAACGCACAAAATGATGTTTATCATTGACTTCAGTTGACTTCAATCAACTCACTCAGAAACCAACTTTGAAGCTGAAGCAAGCCTGTGGACTTGCACTGAGGAGCTCTGAGGCTTCTGGCCGAAGCTTTTTGAAAGAGTGGGCCTTGGTCACCCAAGCAAGATTCCCACAAAGATTCACAGCATGGCGCATTTTCGCACACGCTTCATTTATGCAAGCTTTAGTAGCTTGCAATAGGGTGTGGCGAGTGATATTTTTTACTCGGCTGTGAGGCTGCAAGCTGGGAGGAAAGCCAGGGCCGGAATTCGTCCTGAAAGACATGAACATTTTATATAGTAAGACTTGTGATGACCTTTAATGATTCGGTGATGCTTTTGACCCAAGCAATTGTTCATTTTTGATGAACCATCCAACACCTTAAAGAAACGTCCATTCTTCACCACACCTCAGGACGATCAGGATGACCTGCCGCCTCGCGACAAAGAAGCAGAAGAGCGAGAGCGGCGCAAGCTTGAGGAGGAAAGGTAGAGTTGTTTGAAACACAACAGAAAGTAGCAAACACAAGCAAGGATTACTTGCAATGGAAGCAACAGAGCAGCAATAAAACAAGAAAGCAGGGCAGCAAACACACCGCAATGAAGAGCGATCCTCAATTTGCAAGACTGAAGACAACTTGCCTTTGGCCTTTGGCTTCTTAGACCCTCCTCCCTCACATGACATCATGAGTCTTGATTTGCAGCGTTCAATTCCTGGAGAGATTTGTGCATGAGGAAGAGGCCCGATTGGAGCGCCGTGCTGCAGATAATGCAGCCCGGGCTGAAGCAGAGCGGCGCAGGACCTTCAAGACAAGTCACGATCGTTGCTTATCCAACAATCATCAATCCGATGCACGATGAAGATAACAATTGATTGGTGTTTGAGACCAGGATATTCGCGGAGTTCCTGGAGAGTGAGCGAGTCGTGGCAAGGCTGGAGTTGAAGACAAAGATTTGACATGATTTTACACATCATTCTGCCCTCCTTGCATTTCAGACTCTGATTTCACAGGTTCCTGCGCCAACATGGCTTTCAAGGAGTGAACTGCACCCTTCTCAGTCTAGCAGACTCCTTTTGTGTTGAAGACAAGTCAGCTGCTTAAAAACCCTTCTGCATTTAAGGCCCGAAACGGTACATGCTTGGGCGTCACATGTACCCTTTGCACAAAGCCGCCGACATGGGCCATGCAAGGCCACAGGGTTTAACTGGTGGATACATAGAAGTTTACGGACAATCTGCATCAAGATTAGGACTTAAATGGTCAATTCAACAAGTTTCTTATTTGGATTGAAGATGTTGAGACATAGGTTGGCGTTGTGGTTTGTGTTGTTACACAAGTTGACTTGAAGCCCATGGGGACTTATATAGCTTCATTTGAGACAGTGGATTTGCTCATTTTGCTGCTAGGCTTGTGCGCATGCTACTGCGCGAGGGTGCCATTCCGCTGCCTGGCCTCGTTTCATTTGTTTACTTTGTTCTGGTTGAACTACTGAACTTTCAGTGCTTTTGTCAATCAAGCTCTTCTGTGCTGGTCCTGGGCTGACTTTCTGTTTGTATTTATATATACGTGTATATATACAGCATATATACTCATCACGAAAGCTGGCTCTTTCTAGCTGGAGTTGTGTTTTGCTTAAGCAACAGCTTGGTGCCGCGTGAAAATAACACACGATATTTCAATATATTTCAGACTTCTACCTGCGGGGTGCACATCCTGTCGGGTCCTGGAAGTTGGAGGTAATGAAGATGCTAGTAGCAAGAAACATGACGATGCTATCAGCTGCTAGATGCAGGGACAGCGACTTCCCAGGTCACCTGTGGTAAAACCTCACCACGTGACCAGTGGTTAAAGCGAACACAATATCCTTGATAGGAGCATTGGAATACAAAGGGTGACAAACATTGCACCAGCGTTGACAAGCACAGATTCACAACTGTCAAAAACTACCCTTGGACAAAACTCAAAAGTTCACTGGCAGCAAAACATTTGCTTTCGCCGACCGCAACATACCAAGAGCTGCGTGGAAATGCCACCATCTCACCTCTGGTAAACGGTGCAATCTTGCCTTGCAGGAATTTGTAACAACTTGCCGCTTCACGAGAGCGTTGAACATGTACTACACCAGCTGTGCGAATGCACTGCACTAGATCTCCACCAAAACGCACATTTCGTGGACAGACAGACAGTGAAAACATATCAGGCAGGAACACACAGCTTCACGAGCGGTAAAGCTCCACCACAATACAGGCGGTGAGCGTTTACTTATCCTCAAGCTGCTTGAATAGCCTAGAATTCTACCACTTGAACTTCAGAAACGGTCACCAGTCGCACTCATTGCATGCAGATTTCTCGCATTTCCAACGGGACTGTGTGCAAAGAGACTGTGCGCAAACGATGCATGAAAATGGTCCTAGTAGGCCTCACTCTAGTTCATTATTGGGTCTGTGGAGTGCTTCAAAGTACAGATCGTGGACCCTGTTGTGCTTAACAGTGAACCTGTTATACCTACTCTTTCTTCCAAGAATTGAGGCAAATGTTGGATTCATCCGGGAGAACGGCAGCGGCGGTGGTGTTGCTTGCGTGCTTTGTACTCACTTTGACCAGCTTGGGTGTTTCTTCAACAACAAGGTCCAGGTGTTTCACATTCAAGAGCGGCTCCCACCGTTTGGTTTTGAGAATCGGATAGAGCTAGGTTGAGCGCCAGGCACTACGCCGTGATCGAAATGGCTCTCATGCTAAGGCGCAGATCCGACTTGGCCAGTTCAAGAAAGACTCCGCACATCGCAAAAATATGTATATATACAGTATATATATATATATATGCACATATTATATGTTACATACGTTTGCAAGCATCACAGGTAATTGCAGCGCTGACGGCTCCATCTGCCGCGGTTTCCTCACCGCAGGGCTTTCCTCCTTGAGGCCGAACTATCCATGCTGGTGCTGCAACATCGCCAAACAAGCATGTTTATGTCACAACATGTTGCCACTATGTTTTTGTGTTGCCATATACTGGTTTGTCGCAGGGGATCTGAGCAGAAGACCAAGAACGCAGATTCGATCAAGAGCCTTTATTCCATACTTTGGAGCCGAGACATTCTGCAATTCCCTGAAAATAAGTATGGTCACGATGTTGTATGCAAGTACCCTGAAGCTCTGATCAGCCTTTTGGCACTCCTGGATCTAGGTGGACACTAAAGCGTGAGACGGACCCCCAGAATAGTGATTGTATCAATCTCACATGACACACTGTGCAGTCCTCATGTGTGCAGCCAGGCTTAGCGAAGATGCTTTTCCTTCCGATAGTCATCGCACGATGCATGATCAGATTGAAATGCTGGGAATCTTTTGACGAGAAGGCTTAAAGCAAGAACAAACATGTGAACAAAACTGGAGCATGGAGAGAAGCCTTGTGCTACCCACAGATTGTGGTCTGCATCGCATGCGATGGTAGACCTTGGCGTGCTGTGTTTCTTCAGAGCCCCAAGGTTGCTGTGTAAAATAGAATGTTTGCCAGCGGCGATCCTCATAGCTTGGGGATGTAGAGTGTGACAGTGCATCAATCGCAGCAACCACAAGCTTGATTCAGCACACGTAGAAACTAGATGCAGCTACAGTTACCAGTTGTATGAGAGTCATTCAGGCTTGCTGGGAAAACTGCGCGATGCGCACAAACGGTGAACTAAAGTTCCTCTTGGGCTTGACCCCTGTCGTGCAATCCGGCAACTTTGGCTCCATTTACTCCACTCTCCATTTTATTTGCATCTTGCCATTGGACCAAGAGCACTTGTTGTTCTTTCTGAAAGACACTAAGTCGATTTATATCGGGTCAAGATTTGGAGTGTCATTATTCCTCATCAAATAAAGCATACATCTGGAGGTGATCCTGAATGCAGAAATGGTGGCATACAAACTGACGACACTGGTGCCAGAGTTTTCGGGGCTTTGCCGGAGCCTGACAGCACGAAGCCGTGTACAGATTGGAACCTTGCCATAGTTACTTTGCCAACCGGGCTTTGCCAACCGGGCTTTGCCAACCGGGCTTTGCCAACCGGGCTTTGCCGAGCTTGCCATCGCGGAGGGACCATCTGGCCAGCTGGCCTCCGTAGCCTCCGGGGCCTATGCCTTTTACTGTGCAGAGCCTACCACATTGGAAAGCTCAGGTCTTTGGGTCTTTGTCGTCTTTGAGTTTGGAATTTTGAGAGGAATCACGCTTTGGTCCTGGTATAAAAACCAAAGGGAGCCATGTGCCAGGGCAGCGCACAGGAAAAAGACGAAGAAGAAGAAGAAGAAGAAGACGAAGACGAAGACGAAGACAGACGAAAGAAAAGATCCAGGAAAACAACGAAGAAGAACAATAAATTCTGGGTGACTGCTGCTAGCTGAGCTTTCGTCTCCAATGCTCTCATTGCATTGGACACATGATTTGATTCTGGCTGCACGACTGCAAAGCCGTAATGCTGACATGAAGGCGGTTTCGCTT